TTACTTTCAGGATCTTTTCACCAGGGAGCCCGGTCTGAGCTCTGCTCAGTTCGACGCCTATTTGGCTGACTTTCCCTGCCTTGAGGCAGCTGAAGCGGCTATGTGCGAGGGTCCCATTACAGAGTCGGAAATCTGGGAAGCGCTGAAGCAGGTTGGCCTTGATAAGTCTCCGGGACTAGATGGTCTTCCCTACGAAGTGTACTTGAGGCTGTCGCCCGTTTTTGTTCCTTTGCTGCAGCTGATTTTCAACCACTGGATGAAGCAGGGGTCTTTATCTCGACGCTTCACCAGGGGTGTGATCAAGTTGCTGCGTAAGGACAAGAACGGTGGGGATGGGTTAGGGAATTTTCGCCCTTTAACGATGTTAAATACTGACTTAAAGGTTTTGGCGAAGACCGTTTGCAGCTTGTCCTGTCTCGTCTGATTGGCCCCGAACAGACTTGTGCTGTGAAGGGCAGGACTATTCAGGATAACCTTCATATGGTACGCTTGATCTTAGAACAAGTCGACAGTGAAGCCGCGCTGATCAATTTAGATCAGTCCAAGGCCTTCGATAGGGTTGACCATCGGTTTCTGGAGGCTGTCCTGTCGGCGGCCGGTTTCGGAGCCGACTTTCGCTCCTGGATCCGACTTTTTCATGCGACCCCCGGTGCGCTGGTGGAAGTGAATGGGGTAAGGTCGGAGCCTTTCGTATTGTCTCGCTCCATTCGTCAAGGTTGTCCGCTATCGCCCTTGCTTTACGTTCTTGCGTTGGAACCATTCCTTCGCAAGTTAAAGGCGAATCCGGTCCTGCGCGGAATTACCCTGCCTGGGGCCACCACCTCAGCCAGGTATTCTGCCTATGCTGACGACGTTTCGGCTCTTGTGTCGAGCAGAGCCGAGATTGACGAAGTCAGCAAAGAGATCAGTGGGTATGAGATGGTGACAGGGGCCAAGATCAACCGCGATAAGTCTGTGGGCTTGCGGTTGGGTGCGTGGAAGGGAGTTTCTCTTCCCGGACCTTTCCTCTGGACGGATGGGCCGATCAAGATACTCGGCATCTGGTTCGGTCCTGATCTCCAGTTGGAAATGAACTGGTCGGAGGTACAAGGGAAGGCCGAGATCGCGGAGGAGACTTTCCCTGAAGGGAAGGGCGGAAGTATGTGTTTCACACATCTATCCGATCCTCCTCTACCGACTCTCTGTGCTTCCACTCTCGTATGTCCGACTAATGTCATTAGTCCGGATCTTGTTCTCTTTCTTGTGGAGAGGCAAGGCCCCTATGGTATCTCGCGAGGTCTGTTGCCTCCATCCCTCTGAGGGCGGTCTGGGTATGCCTAGCATTGAGATTCGTCAATATATACTTCGCATAACCTTTCTAGACCGAATGTGTCGTGGGTCGAATGAGGAGGGTGCCTTTTGGAAAGAAGACGTCCAGAAACATTTCCCGTCCCTGAGAAGTGTACACTCGTGCGAAGAAGAGGCCGGCCGTACACCACGTGCCGAGTGCGCCTTCTTGCGTTGTCTCGCAAGACATTGTATCAAGTGTTAGTTAGGGGGGCCGTACAAGATGATCTAATTGGCGAGCTCGGTCTTACGAAGCAGGAGGCTCGCTCGATATGGCCTTGGGCGCCCGGGTTGAAATGCCTCAATAACGATGAGGCATCACTCACCTGGCTGGTGATTCGTGAAGCCCTCTGGGTCGGCAAGAGACTTTGTTCAGCAGGCTTGGAGAAATATCCAAACTGTCGTCGCTGTACGGGGGAAGTCGAGACCATTGGTCACGCCTTCTTTCAGTGCAAGGCGGTAGTGCTGTTGTGCAAGTTTGTTGAAGGCCTCATGGTTCGCATGCTGCAGGGAAAGTTTTTTGTCCTTGAAGCCAGTTCTGTTTGTAGCAATGTGGTGCCGCAGATGACGAAGGCTGAACACTATGTGTTCTGTTGCTTACTAGGGGTTATGAGAGTCGTGATTTGGACGATTAAGCATCAGCTTAAAGTCAAGATCAGGACGGAAAGGCGGCGGCTCACCTCATCAGAATTCAACAAAAGGTGGGTGAATCTTGCGCGTATGTGCCGAGTAAAATGGGCTAACCTTGAGTGGCATTTTGATGCCGGTTAGGCATTAGGATATTGTTTTCCTGGGTTCAACATAGGCAACCCATCCCGAAACTAGGTTAGCTTAGGTCTGGTTTTTTGATTTTTAGTTTTCCTTCTTTTCAGTAAACTTTGCTAGGGTGTGTTTCTGCCCATTGGTCCCTTTTATTTCTGTCCCCATTTTTCTTCCTTTAGTTTAACTCCCCATCCCCTCCCTCGTTTAGGTGGTCAGTGATGTCAATTCTCTGGTGGATGTGGGGCGCCTTTCGTTTCGTGTGTGTGTTTTTTCGTATTTGTTGTTGTGTATGAATGAGTGTGTGCCTGTGTGAATGCTTGGGAGGAATGAGTGTGTCCTTCATTTACATAAGTCCCGCATCGATTTCGTCCAGTTAACTGATATTTCTGCCACATTCAAAAGTTTGTTGGGGGTTTTATTACTAACACTATTTTTGTTTGTTTTCTTGTAAATATTTTTGTGTCATTTTGTATATATTCATTGGGGTTCATTTTTAAAATTGTTGTTTTTATGCCCCGCCCCCCGACAATATTTGTACATTAGGGGAGAATTTAGGATTTTCATTGAGTCAAAGAGGCATTTTGGTGTACGTAGTAAGAAAGGTACGGATAAATGTGTTGTTTTGGTGAAAGGAATATTGTTTTGTATGATAGGGTCAGTGGTTGTGGCTAGCTAAGTTTTATACTAAGACAAGTGATGACCGTCCTTTACCCCAACCCCCTTTTCGGCCTTGTGCCACATTTGTACATAGTACAATAAATAATGTGTCGACTGGTTCAGTCTGAAGTCGGACGACCGGCTGACCAGTTGAACTCTCTGCCTTCAGGCGAGGAGGAACCCGAACGAGTACTACGCCGAAAGGCGGAGTCTCTTTCGGGGAGGTAAACCGACCCTGAACCCGTTTATACGGTTCAAAGGGCATATTTTTGGCCGAGCCCACGGGCTCGAAGTTCCCACGTTAAACCGGCCTTGTGCCTCATGATACCCTCGTGGGGGGGGGTGACTAAATACTAGTGTCGACTGGTTCACCGTGTTATCCCGGTCACACTCTTTATTTCATCTTAAGGTTCTGGAGGCACTTTACATCGGGTCCCGCAAGTCTTCTTTGTGTAAACAACGTGAGTGTCTGTTGGGGCTCGCTGTCATTTGTCTCTAGTTCCTTTTGCGATTTTTTTTCCTCCCACAACTTCCTTTTATTGTACATTTTTCTGTGTTTAATTTTAAATTAAATCTCCCGTGGAAGCCTGAAGAGCGGGAGCGAAACCGGTTGCTTCGCCCGTTTTTAATATGTCTCGTAATATTAAGTTTTATGCTTTTATTTCGATCATTAAATTTTGTACCTACAAAAATATCTTTAAATATATATATATATATATATATATATATGTGTGTGTGTGTATATATTTTCGTGCCCCACATATACCCGCATGTGAGCGTTCGTGTATGCATGTGAATGGTTTGACCACTGTATTTGGTCACCTTGTGTGCATGTTGTGTGTTTTTGCATGTGGGGTTATGATCTATTTAGTTCCGGTTTAAATTTGTTTATGAAGTTTTTTTCTTGTATTTGTAGGTAAGAATAATTGTCTGTTTGATATATTGGCATGATATTAAATTTACCCTGGTGTTACATTTGAAGATGTGTTGTGATACAAGCAATTTTCTGTTGTCTGGTAATTAAAATTAAAATAAAGCATAATATTTTTTTTTAAATACACATTACAACCAAAAACGTTTATGATACCTCTCTTCTTTTTTAATATATATATATATATATATATATATATATATATATATATATATATATATATATATATATATATAAACATCTCATAAGAAAATAGCTGAGTGCTAAAGAAAACTAGGATGTATGGAGAACAGCTTCATGAAAAAATGGACACAAATAGCAGTAGTGGCATGACGTGCCTTAAAATGCACAAACGTATAGTTTTTACACAAACCATACAAAAAGCTAAAAGCACAATAATGACGGGAAAGAATTTGTGATCAGGGAAAAAGATTTTAAACGATAAAAAGGTATATATAGTTTTTTAAGTTCTGGTAATCATGGTGACTGCAGCAAGAGTGAATTAAGGTAGGTACATTCAGTTTTAGCAATTTTAGCGCATCAATTTACTAAAAAAACGAGATGATCATTACACGGTTGGATTTCATCATAAATGAACATAACGATAAAGTCTTTCACTAATAAGCTGAAGTCACTAGTAGACCGAGGTCAGTAAAGTTATTAATATTCAGATGACCAGAACTTTGTCTTTAATTAACTAAATAAGATATTTTTCTACATAATATTTTCTCATTATCTGGAACTTTCATTATGAGAGTGAATTATGATTATTTAAGAAATCGATATTTAGATAATGGATGCCTTTTCAACTATCTATTCTGGAAACTGTTTGTTTTAATTTCTTTTTTGGGGGGTGGGGAGGGATCAATACATAAATTTTTGCTTTTTCCTAAATAATTTTTAGATCTTTAGGGACAATTATTTATGTTTTCGACTGCTGAAAAGTAAGTAATAAGGAGAATGGAGGTATTCACTTGTTATGTATGTGTGTAGACACACATACATAACAAGTGAATACCTCCATAAAAGGAAAAAAAAGCCCTGTTTACAAAGTAGCCAATGCGTAAATAAAGAGAAAGAACCCTATATCAATAATACAGCGAGATCGTGATTATATACTCCAATAATTACTTTTTTTCGTTGTATTAGCCATATGAAATTCATTCGAAAATCAGTAACACATGTAAAGAACAAAAGTTTTACTAATTGCATTACAATTTATTTTGGATCAGGAAAACTACTGATTAATATATAATTTTCTAAATGTAACTTTAATAAACTATTTTTAGCATTGATAATACTAATTTAGAAAATTTATTTGCAGGTACTGAATACAAAGACTATGAAGGATCCAGAACGAATGTACAAAGTTGTATTGGCTGGAGACGCCGCAGTCGGCAAATCGAGTTTCATAATGAGGTTGTGCAAAGGAAAATTTGTTAATAATCTAAGTTCAACATTAGGTAAGTAAACATGCAAATATATCGAAATATTATTACCATTAGGCAACACTTGAGTATAAGTTCCATTCATGCTAGTCATTGTAGCATTTCATGTGAACCACAAAATTAATTGTTTGGTTGATGTATTAATTGTTTTGGACATAAAATAGCAAAGCATTTTGTCTGGATTTCTTTGACTTTTACATTGCCTTTTAATTAAATCAAGTATTACATCCTAAAAGAATGATTCTGGTTTTGACTCAACAAATTTATCGAGGAATTTTATTGATATCTTCAAATTGTTGGAACCAGTGATCAGTTTTGCATCGAGCAAAAAAGTGATAATCTGATGAATATGCGACATATGGAAAATTTGCCATTACAGCTGTCTGTTTCATACGTGTGGTTGTAGATCACTTGCGAATCCAAATTCTGAGACACTTACTATGAATTTGCACATCCAAATGAATATGACGTCTGCTACGACCATTGGAACCATTATTGGTTAGCTCTTACTGACTCAATTGTAAAGCATGGTGAGTTTTCATTCAAGATACAACAGCTCAACTGATTACGGTTGATTGCCGCAGCCAGTAGTAAGTATGTTTATTTGCTACATCGTATTTACCACTTGGGCACCTCAGTATTGAAAAGTAATGTTTTGTCTAGTTTGCGGCTATTTATAATGAAGAATTTTCTTGGAGTCTCACAAAACAGAGAATCTATTTTTTCCTTAAAAGATTTAATTTAGATCAACCTGTTAAAGGCTGTTCTCTGGATTTAGTAATGTTTTCTTACTTTTTTGAAATCTCGTTATAAACTCTTTTTTTTTTCAAGCCAATGTTTAAAAATGTCATTTTTTGTGTCGAGCAAGGAGAGAAAGTGTTTGAATGTTGACCAAAGTGGAACACATTTTCTTCGTTTCTGTCCTTAGACATTTACAGTTGAATTCTTGCAAAGAGTTGTTCAACTTGAAAGATTCCAAAAACTGACACTTGTTACTTTTGATTTAATTGAAAGCACAAGGTCTTATGTAAAATAAATCATGAGGAAGTGTTTTTGCAATTTAACGCCGTGTGAGATCCGCTTATCGTCAGTATTACTTGAATGTTACCAGTGACATATTCGGGCCATCATGTTAATAACGTAAAATGTTAACTGTTTTATTAATTATTTAAAATATACATACCGCAAACATTAATTATGAAATAATGTTATTCGAGTAAATTTATTCCAGATTATTTAAAAATTTGCAATTCAAAAAAATTCATTAAATACGACGCAGTCCTATACACAGACTAGATAGACGGTAATTTGAAATTCCTTGAAGTCAGTCAAAATTCCTAAAATTCAAAACTGTTCGTAGATAATGACAATTTCAAAATATTGAACTAGAAAAAGTATGTTAATAAGGGAATCTTGAAGATATTGTCAACGATTGAAGAAAGTTATATCTTACAGTCCAGAACTAAAACATTGTGGCAAAATAAAAAAGCCCTTCTAGAGTTGGATTTTGTAAGCAAGCGGATTTTGTGGATCAGCTCTAGTTAAAAGGCTGAAAAGTTAACCTCGTTAGAAATGAAAGTAATAGAAATTATATTGAAGAAATTTTGATTTAAAAGCAGCAAAAATTGAATTATTGATTTATTACTATTGTCTTGCAGAGTACAATATAACGAATAATCGTTTGTGGGTCAATTCAATTGCTTATTACAAACCAGTGTTGTTGAATATTCACACAAAGGCCTCAAATTTTAAACTATCTCGCACTTAATTACTAACATGTTACAAAGCAAGTTAGCATGGTACTTTACAGAATAAATGCCAGATAGTAGCAGTTTGACGTTGTTTTTCTTCTTCCTTCGCCACATCATTCCAGAGAAAATGGGAGCTAATCGCCTCGATCGATACAATTATATATGTATAACTATTGGTTTAACAATGTGTGGTATTTAAGAGGTAATTTTTCTGTCGATTCCTCTTAGACGGCCATTACGACCTATGTATAGCTATTGATACAACAATGTGGGGAATTTAAGAGGTATTTTCTCTGTCGATTCCTTTTAGGCGGCGATTAGGACCTGTATATGTATAGCTATTGCTTCAACAAGGCGAGGCATTTAACAGGTAATTTCAATGTCGATTCCTTTTAGACGGCGATTACGACCTATATATATAGCTATTGTTTCAAAAAGATGTGGTATTTAAGAGTTAATTTCACTTTCGATTCCTTTTAGATGGTGATTACGACCTATATATATATATATATATATATATATATATATATATCGCTATATCTTCAACAAAGTGTGGAATTCAAGAGGTACTTTCACTGTCGATTCCTTTTAGATTGCGATTACGACTATATATTTATAGTTATTGCTTCAACAACGTGGGGCATTTCACTGACGATTCCTTTTAGACGGCGATAACGATGTATGTATAGCTATTGACTCAACATGGGTAATTTAAGAGGTACTTTCTCTGTCGATTCCTTTTAGACGGAGATTACAACCTACAACAATTATAAAATTATTATTTTGCTTATTTTTATTTTTATGCTCACTTCATTTGCTTACTATACAGGTGGACGATGGTAAATTTTTCCATGTGAATGTGGGCAATGACGTCAAGTTTTGGAACCCCTGGTCTAACCGATTTTGTGATATCTCACAATGATTTTGTTAAACATGATCATTATCATATAAGACATCATATTGCGTTTTTTTTTTTTTATATTCACTTCATTAAGTTCTTTTGTTTCATAGTTGATAATGCAAACAATTAAGAATTGATATTCTTTTTTCGAATTATATAACATTAACATGTCATATTTGTGCATATGAAGATTGGCTGAAAAACATTGGTGCTCATGCGTAATTATTTGTTTGCGTGTCTGTATGTCTTTAAAATAGGTTAAAACGACAGTAACATTGTTTTGAATGACGTAGAAAATATCGATTTTGGTAACATCTGCGTACTGTCTGATCATCTCTTGGCTTATAAAGAATAATGACAGCGATAGATCAGTCGAAATTATTTAACGCCAATAACATGACATTTTAAAAATATTATTTTTTATTGTGTTTTACTGTTTACTTGAAATTATTTGATAGACGTAAGTACATATATTTTGAATATAATTTTCGACCAAATTATACTAAAGAAAATTAGCTGAGTGTATAAAAACACAATATGCTGTTTTACACTATAGTGATCCCGTTTAACAAAAAATCATGAACACACTAAAACTTGAGAGATCACAAAATCGGTTAAACCAGGGGTTCCTAAACTTTGCGTCATCACCTACTTTCACAAGGAAAAGTTTTTCATTACCCGCTTGTATACTAAATAATCAAAAGTATACCAAAATTGTTTAGTAAAAGTTTGTTACTGCTTCATAAACTAAGTTTATGATGTAGTAAAATATACCAAAATAAGGTAAAAAATAACACTGACTGGTCAAGTTTGCTTTCGATTTATTTTAGTACGGTAGTAGCTACCGTACTAAAATAAATCGAAAGCAAACTTGACCATCGAAAACTTATAATTTAGTTTTATTGTCAAGGTTAGTTTTATGGTTGGGGTTAGCGTTGCAAGTGTTGTCAAAAAAATTAAACGATATTTGTTCATAATTATAAAATTAAATAGAATAATTACTACTAGCAATTAATAAAAATTCAGCGAATATTTTTGTTGTTCTTGATCTTCCCATATCTGATTTATATCCGGAATAAATGTTATTTCGTCTGGAGAACTATTTGAATGTTAATGACCCTTCTCAAAATCATAAAAAATAGAAAAATATTCGTTGTTTGCGGCGATATTTATATTTTATCTACGAATGTGAACCATTTATTCTCATTTAGCCTCCTATTTTTTGATACATGTTCTTTGCATATCTCCTTTGAATATTTATTCTGGCAGCAATACTTAAAATTTCTAATCGCCTACCATTTCTGCTCATCGCCCACCAAACAGTTGAAGTCGCCCAGGTTGGGAAATCCTGGGTTAGACTATTAATATATTTTTCATACGAATTTAAGTTATGTTTTTTTTTTTTTTTTTTTTTTAGAAAGCCAGTGAAATATCACTATATATTATTTGAACAGAAATTCGTTATAGCATTCAAACTTCAATTATACATTCATGCAATAAACAGCTCAGTTGGCATATTTAAGATATTTATTATTAAAACGGCCGCCATAGCACACAGGAACCACTATTTCCCGCGTGACAGTACTCGTCATAACAGGTGCTTGTTTGTTGCTGCTCGTAACAAATATAAGCGAGTCCTCGAAAAAGCTAAGTCACTATTTAAGAGACTGAGGCACTTGGTCCGAAGCTAACGACCTTCCGGATATGACATCATCTTTCAACTTGGCATCTACACTGATGACACTACCATTTACTCCTGCATCGATAGTAAGGTTGATCAGTCAGATGAAGTCAAAATGGCAGCTGATGTACAAACTACCTCAAGACTAGGAAAAAAGATGGCTTGTCAATTTTAACGCTCCCACAACTAAACTTCTCTGAGAGATCTCTCTCTACTTTCCATCAGTATGGCTGATGCTGTCCTCCAAAAAGTGACTCATTGCTAATGTTCTTAGCTGACATGGAAAGACTACATTGTATTCGTCGCTAGATCAGCTGCTAAGAAAATCGGCTCACTGTGTCGGTTGAGATAATTTTTCTCTTCGGAATCTATCTTGCATAAGTTTACCTCGTACATGCTTAGAATATTACTGACATATATGGTCCGGTACCCCTGCTATTTTCCTGGAGCTCCTTGATAAGATCCAAAGAATAATCAGCAATGTTATTGGTCCTGATCTGGCGGCTCGGCTTCAGTCACTTGTCCACCGCCGTAAGATTGTCTCTCTGTGCCTTTTTTTATAAGTACTTTCATGGTAATTGTTCGGATGAGCTCTTCGTTACCTAAACTACAAATTTAAGCACAATATTAAACTGGCGTAGAGATCTCATTAATTTACAGTTGAGCTGGCTAGATGTAACCCCAAGTTCTATGTTAAGAGGTTCTTTTCTCGCACTTCTCGCTTGTGGATTTCCCTTCCGGCTCCATGCTTTCCAGCCAACTTTAAACTGCAAAAATTTAAATGCAGTGTCAATCGCTATCTACTGTCCACCTGATTGCTCTTTTCTCTTTCTCCCCATTACTAATGTTTCTGTTCCTAACTTCCCCACACCCTGTAACCCCTTGAGTGGTAGTAGCTGTACTTCCTTGCTTGTTATGATACCGATTAAAAAAAAAAAAACAAATAATAAAAAAAAAAATCGAAATAATTTCTGTTAATTCAGACTTAAAATGTTAAGAAAAGCATTAGATTTTTTTTATTGCGTAATAAGGCAGACACAGAATTCGAGATACTCCTTATAACATAAGGGTATAACATAAACGCTTTTATTTGATTGAAATTTAAAAAATATATATTCATTAAGAATTTACTGTGAAAACGTATATGAATTGCCAGATTTCGAAACTGAACATATTGTTGGCTAATCGAAAAGTGTAATGAGCTAGCGTCAGATAATTTTGAATCATGAAACAGCCCTCATATCTATATATGTATGTATGTATTACTGTTACGTTTTTTTTTTCGATCTTATTAAAACGTGACAAGCATATGCATAACTAAAAGTTTGTTTTAATCCGATGAATATCCATGCTTGTGAGTGACGACTTCGCCATTTTCTTTGGCACGATGGATGGTATTAGTCATCGCCCATAGATATTTATAGAAGCTGCAAAAAGGAACAATCGTTTTGTTTATCCCAAATTTCATTACGAGAATTTGCAAATAGAAACGATCGATTTGCTAATCCTGTCTGATGGCAAACGCTGCTGGTGGTGGTCCCGCCATAGACATCGAAACCGTGATATCACCCCTGGTCGGCGGTTGATGCAGACAGGGTATCGCACGTGCTAACACACGTTGCATGTTAATATATATATATATATATATATATATATATATATATATATATATATATTAGTAATGGAACTGACAATTTTAAGCTTCTGGCAATCGGTTCTTTCGAAGCACTGATGGATTACTTCGCGTGCTTGATCTGAATGAAAGTCTTACATGCTTGTCATATTTTAATATAGGCACCTCCACCAATTCAGTATACGTAAGGTTTAAAATGATTTTTAAAAAATGAAAAACTTTCTTGAAGCTTTCATTTTAGCTTTAATTGAAAGTGTGGCACCATGCATCCAGGCAGAAAAGAAGGAAGAAGTAATGAGAGACGGATCATAGGCGAACACACACACACGGCTTAAGAGGCAAAAAGAAAGAAAAGGGTTATTTTGGATAAGTGGCAAATGCCGAAAGGATTGTCATTACAATGACAATGAGATTGAGTGGGTAGGGAAGTGTTATCTAAACTATTGGTACGAGAAAGCATCTTACTATCAAAATTAAAAGGCCACCTGCGAGCAAGCATTGACCGATTTCCCCACTTGTCCGCGAGAACGGAATTGTGTTATCAAGAAATGTTCACCAAAGAAAGTCCACTTGAAAACGTTAGATTTTGATAATTGGCAAAACACAGGTGTAGCTTGGAGCCTTAGCTGGGTATGGAAAATTAAAATCCCACACAAGTAGTCTCACTAGTTAAGCTCTTTTCGACAAAACAGACTTTTGCCCTGCGATAATAAAATTTTGTTATCAGACACATGAACCGAAGGAAAATGAATGGAATAAGAAATGTTTTTATTGCTGCCTCGGAGACGTCAGACTGGCTGAGAACTTGGAGAAAATTCCTTTCTTAGACCATGTCGGAAAATCCAGCCGTCTGATGCATTACCGATAAACTGGTGGACAAACGCCACGTGTTGAACAAAGAGTTGTCACATTATCCGTTCATGATAACGGCGATTTGAAAGAAAGAGAAAGAGGAGAGATCATTAATTTTTTTAGTTAAACAAGGTATTTCTTTTCCAAAACAAAGCCGCGGGTTGTTCACGCCCGACTAAGACGTCATTGGTCAAGTGGTGATCACATGACACACGAAGGAGGAGGAAAGATACTCGACCAAGACCTCATTGGCCGAGAGTGGTCACGTGACGCACGGAGAAGACTGTCGACGCCCCCATCCAGAGTATAAGTATGAGAAGCCGCTACGAAGAAGTGGGTAGGGCAGTTCACGCCCCTCAGAAGCATGGTGAGAAAGTGGGAGTGAGAAAAAAGTTACCAAAAATGGAAAAGAGTGGAAAATCCCTAACCAGAAATAAAATGAGGTGGATATGTATTTAGAATTATCGAGGAACTCCCCGACGCCAACAGACCCAACCCGGTTTTTGACGGCGTCAATAAAAACGAGGCCCCAACAGGCAGAAAGTTAGTTCGTTCGGCCCTGGCGGGCAGAGTTCGTTCGGCCCTGGCGGGCAGAGTTAGTTCAGTCCCGGACGGCAGAAGTTAGTTCAGACCCTGGCTGGCAGAAGTAGTTCAGTCCTGGACGGCAGAGATGATAGATCAAGATAGCTGACCAAGATTCACGCAAAATTTTGAACTCCTCTTCAACCAAGAACAATTATTTTGAAGAGCGACTTAGAACCAGACCACAGAAATAAGTTTTTCGACTTTCGTCCAAAGACACACCGAAACACAAATTTCTTAGAGAGCAGACAACTTGAAGCGTTAAAACTTGCCTAGCGAAAGCGACGTGCCACAATCCACAGAACGGGTCGGGAGATAGATGCAGTCCTATGTATCGAACAACTAGACATAAAAAGTTTGTTACCTTTTTCTTTGATACTTTGAACTTTTTGAGTTTTCATTTTATTTTCTTTTATGCATATTTGTGTTTGTCACCCCGTTGAACTCAATTTGCATTACGGCCCCAACCCCTGTTTGATCTCGTCTGTCTAAGATCAATTCACAACGTGGGTAGGCAGACTGGAGATCAGTGCAGTTACCTTGGTAACCAGGCGTTGGAAGCGAGTTGGGAACGGCGAGGCTGATATCAAATCTAACCAGATTCCCACCCGAATCACCAAAAGGTTAGAACGTCACATTTGGGTGCCGCGACCGATACCAAGCCAGTTGGTCGTCACAGTACGAGAAAACACGACTGACGCGACAGGCGAACGTCACGTTTGGAGCAGCGACACCCGGGCGGAGCAGCGAGGAGCGAACAGCTGGCGCCGCGGCGAAGACGTCTGGTTGGTGCTGTTTAGGGACGTCACAACTGGTGTCGTGACCGGGATAGGACCCTGGAACGGCCACGTCACAACTGGCGCCGTGGTAGATCAGGATAGAACGTCACAGTTGGCGCTGCGACCGGGGGACGACGTCACATCTGGTGCCGTGACCATAGGATCGGAACCTGGGGCAGCCACGTCACAAAAGCAAAGGATTTAAAATTTAGTATTTCCAGTCAGCAAAATACTGTCAAAGTACTCTTTCAAACAGAAATTATAATGATCGGAATCGATTTTTTTTCAGTAAAATCGAAAAAAATTGTAAAGTTGTAAATAAAAGTTAATTCTCGGTTTTAAAAATCTTTCAAAATTAAAATTAATATTATTTTTGAAACGTTATTTGAGGAAAATTAGCAAATTTAAAGTTAAATTAATTTGATTTGAAAAAATATTACTTATAGCATAAAATGCTGTATACAAGCGTTTCTTAACCATGAGGTCTTGTTTTTCTGACGTGTTAATCGATTTATTGAACGTGTTCATTGTTAAGTATGGTGGAACAGACGATAATTTTCATATGAGGGTTTTCCCCAGTAATGGGGAAACAACCCCTAAAACACGTGACCTTTTAATGATAAATGTTATACATTGGGCCATCTATACTTTGAAATTCTACACGTACATCACACATACAAAAACGAATCGAAATTATTTTTAAAATATTCGGGGTTGTCAGATTGTAATAAGCTTTACAATATACAATTAGTAAATATAGTTTATTTAATAACAATATTTTCTAAGAGTTATTTAATTGAAAATGAATTTTAAAAGATTTAAAAACTTTAAAACTAAATTATTCAATGTAAAATTGTAAAAAAAAGAAAACAAATCTTGTAAACATTCATTTTTCATCATTTTTTTTCCTCAGCCAATATTGTCTTTAATATATTTTATTCATAAAAGCAATTAAAAGCTCCTCTAATTAAATAATGTTTTAGGTTTATTGCGTTTTTTATTTTTCGATTCAGAACAGATTTGCGGTAAGACAGCGTCCAATTTTGAATTAATTTGAATTCTTTAAAGAATTCTGCTAGCATATTGAATTTCTCAAGTTTTCATCAAATTAAGTGGAAAAAAAATTTTTTTATCAAGATTTTCTAAAAAGAAATTTCAAAAATAATTTCCTGTAGTCCTGAAAATTTCATTAAAATCCGACAAATATTTGATTATTGCAAGAATTTCCAAATTAATGTGTCGGTCACTGCAAAAAGAGGTTAAAATTTGTTATGTTAAACGTTAGTACAAAAATCTGAAAATTGAATGTATTCAATTTTCTAATATTGAAGAAGTTTTAAATCAGAGAATACCTAAGCAACATTTTTTTGAACCGCAAATATGTTACGGGGTAGCAATTTTGAATATTAGTCGTTCAAGGCTTTTGAAATGTACGAGTAGTTACATTTTTTCTAAAATAATCCAAAATTCACATTAACTATGTCGCTAAAAATAAAAACAGACATAAATTGTACAAAAGAAAATCAATAGGGAATTAAAAAATATTAAATGAAGTCTTTAAAGAGAGTTTAAAATTAAACATGGAAAAATTTTGAAATTTTCTTCTAAAGTTTATTTTTCATTGGTATTTCTCCTTGCACGAACAGGTGTTGATTTTCAGACAAAGATCGTAAACGTTGATGGTCATACAATTGCTTTGCAACTTTGGGATACAGCCGGCCAAGAAAGGTAAGTGTTATCCTCAATGATTTCAATAAACAGATAATTCATTTGGGGCGGATTTCTGTATACGTTTCCAAAGAGGCAGTTGAAGATTAATTTTAAATGGAATTTTGAGTTTACTTAAAATTTTATCTCTGATAACGGATACCAAATGATAAGACGTTAAAAATAAGCTAAAATTATGATAACTATGTCCACTTCAAGATTGCTTACTCCAACCTCTTTAATACTACATGATAATACTGGCAGTGTTCTCTTTAAGGAAGACTAACATGTTACTCTGAACTGAATGAACTGTAATTGACCTTTTCCCGGCACCAGATTTTCTGTATCAGTTATTTCCATTTATCCTCCATCTGATTTTTTTGTTTTACTTTACTATGAGTCAATATGAGTTAATCACAATCAATTAACGTAACAGATTATGAACGCAGCAACTATAAATCATATTTTGATGGAGACAGGGGCGTGTACTGAGGCAAAGTGCCGCCCGGTCTCCCATATTCATAATGGCGCCCCTTTTCTTTGGAGGAAAAATATAAATAAAATATCCTTAATGGCGTTAATTAATAGTTGAAAAAACAACAAATTCAAAAAATAGTTGAACAAACGCTATCATATTTAAAATATACAAGATTTCAAGATTTTGCAGAAGCAAAGTAACTAACTTAGTCAAAGTCTATATTCTCCACAGTTTTATGTTCAATTGAAATGAGGGACAAATTGGATAAGCGATCTTGCAACATACTTGATCTCAAGTGACTTTTAATGAGCTTCAGTTTTGAGAAGCTTTTCTCTGTAGTAGCAACAGAAACTGTGAGCATCAAAACCAGCCGTAGAGCAATCACAATATTTGGCACTGTTTCTTGAACTTGCCATCAATAAATCCATTTCAGCCATTCGATAGCCGATGATTTGGTCATTATGGTCGTGTCACGTTCCACTTTGGAAGCTGCCACTAAAACTCCCGAATCCAGAGAACTTTCAAAGGTAGCCTGGATACGTTTAAGTCAGTACCGTATTCGCTACCGAGAATTTTAAATCTTCGCTTCAGCTCGCCTTCAGTATCTTCCAGGATTGCTTGTGATGATAATCCAGCGAAGACAGTTTGCAGATGAGACATGGCATAAAATCGTTTAACAATTCGATCATGACATTCGTAAAAATATCTCTTTACTTCCTGTAAAAGTGTTTGGCATACATCATTTTCCTTTTCCAAAGGTAGCTTTCTCTTTCTTCTAATCCGCTTTTCCATTTCCTTGCACTTTGTTTTACTTTGATTAACCGATTCAAACACCAGCCTGTCCCTGTTTCAGTTCGCATCCAAACCAATACCAGGTTATTGAAGTTTCTTTTGGGTGAGATTTATTTGTTTCAGAATTTCTTCCCAGTAAAATAAATGTGACATGAACGAGAAGTTTTCAATTGAAAGCAAAAAGATGTGTGCATCCCCTCTCGTTTGAAGATTTTCTGAAGCTGGGGTTAATGTATTGAGTGCCTGAATCGCTCCTTGAAATGCAGTTTTCACAGCACGAATAGCTTCGTAACGTGCACTCCAACGGGTGGTTACCAAAAGCTTCATCATGCGAAGATAAAACTTCCCACCAGGGAAGAAAAATGTATAGTCTCTCTCAGTCACCACGAAAAATGTAATGGCACTTGCATTCACAGCTGAAGCATGAACACCGGATAAATTCAGACTATGATTAGAACATGGCACAAATTTAGCTTTCCTATTTATGTTTCGTAGAAGACGTTGAACTCCAGCCATACTAGCCGCATTGTCAAATGTTATCCCTCTACATTTTTTGAAATCAAGTTTCTCTTTCTCCAGTCGATCCAAAACCATCTTTTTGATATCATAAACTGTCTTCCCATGCTCAGTGATAAAACAAAGAAATGATTCCCGCGCCCCACTTCTTTGTTTTCAACAACGACATATCGACAAATGAAACTCATCTGATCAGTATGAGAAATGTCCGGCGTGCTGTTTAGTATGATTGCAAAATAATTGGCTTTTCGAATTCGATATAATATATTTTCCTTTACGCGTTTTCTCGAGATATGAATGAATTCATTTTGGATTTTTCGTGACACTGCCAGTTATCATTTACTTCTTTCAAGTAATGCTTTCCAAGAACAGGATCATACTTGCTCATAAGTTCAACAAGTTTTATAAAGTTACCTTTATTGGAACTATATACATTTTCTCGGTGACCTCTAAAAGACAAGTTCTGTCTCCAAATCTGTCTTTCTTTCATAGTTTGTTCTTGTAATTTATCAAGGGTTTTACTTTTATTAAGGGTTAATACCAATATCTTCCATTCCCTGGAAGCTCTTTGGTAGTCAGACGAATTTTCATGTTTAGACATTTTTGAATTAAGCTCCCAGAACTTTTGAAATCCTGGATTTCTTGCTAGACTCAATTTGCATTGCCCTGTCTTCAGGAAAAGGCGACAATAGAAACAATAAAGAGATTTGTTCATCTTTGATTACAGCAACCATGATCACAAAACAGTTTCTAGATTCTCCATAGTTTTGTAAAACCAATGTTGTAGTATTACTCCGCCCGGGCAAATTTTTCCCCGGTCTTACAGTCGGAGCAAACTGTTCATCTTTGTTTTGAAACTTTTAAGATGATCAAGCAACTGCCCTCAGCAAGTTTGTGGCCAAAATGTGATGTCTTTGCAAACAGAAATCTCTGTATTTGCCTGTTCTATTTCTTTATTTCCAGTAACTTCATCAGTTCCTTCTTCATATTCATACCTGTCCTTACTGCTTACACTGGAGCTCTCTTTGGCACCTCATCATTGTCATCTTCATTTTCTTTAACAATCTTAATTCTGCAGTAAATTCCTCTTCAACTTTTATTTTTGTCTCCACCATATTCACATTTTCTCCATGTTCCTCCCCTCCTAATTTTGATGTACATTCAGCATCCTCATCTTTGCATTTTGCTTTAGCTACATATTTCTTCTGTAGGAAAACCTGTAAAGATGCAGCACATTTTCTTGCGTTCTCTGGTAGGTTTCAACTTGTGGTAAGCCATGCCTCTCAGTTTTTGCCGTTTACAGTTTACTCATTCTAATCGATAAAAAAATAGAAAAAGAAACAAATAGGAAGAGAACATACTCAACGGTAAAGAGAATTTTTATTTATTGTACTAAGATACAACTTGGCACAAGGCTCAAAGTGAGGTTGTAAAAAAAATCTAATTTTTTAACTATCCCAAACTTAGCTAGACACATTCGTGACCCATTCACATCTTATAATGGCATAGGGAAGAGTTGTTTAAAAATAGAAGTAAATAATTACAGAAGTTTATCCTATACAACCATGTGATTGTTTAAAATTTTTCTTAAATTCGATTTTTAAAATTTACTATCCTTTTTTCTTACACATTTTTTTATCCCTTTTTATTTCATTCTTATATTTAATTTAATAATTTAAAATTTAATCCATAGTAAAAAATAACTGAACACTGAACATTTGTATTAAAATATCATTAAAATTTTATAAGAAATGTTTACCTTTGATACTTGCATTAAACATTAACTAGAGAACTGTTTGACAATTTTTAGGCATTATTATGCCGGCGTATTTTTTTTTTTTAACCTTATGGTGTTATGAAAGATGGTAATGAAACTAAACTAATAAGGACAGAAATATTTAATAACTATTTATTTCCACCAGTTCAGCCGGTTATTTAAAAATATTCATGTTTTAAAATAAAGTTTTTAAAACAATAAACATTAAAAGTCAATATTAAATAATTACATTTTTGACTTAACTTTGTTTTTTAGAGAAACAAATCTTTAATCTTTTTGTGTGTTTCTGCTACACGATGAATCTCTTTCCTCCAGACGTGCTTGGTTGGTGGGAGAGATTTTACAGTGATCCTAAATGAATATTTAAAAATATTTTAAAAATCGTCCCGGAAAACTTTAAGGCATAATATTTGAAAATTTTACATAATCTTAACTTACATTTTTATATTACAAACTTAAGATTCTTAGTTTTTAATACTAATATAAAGAGTTAATCTTGTAATATGCACTAGATTTGATTTTTCAGAAAATGTTTAGTTAAAAAATCTCTAAAATGTTTAAAATTTAAATTGGTTGTACAAAATATACAATATAGTGGGGATGTCTCTTGGAATGTCCTGAAACGCAAGAGGTCGCTCACAGCAGGGCCAGATCAAAGTAGCGGCATATCAGACAGTCGCCCGGGCTTTTAAGCTGAGATCGCCAACAGGACAGCAAGTCATGTGTCTGTGATCTTCCAAACAAAAAGGAATGAATGTGAAGAAATCTGAATAAAAAACCCCAAAATATTAGATTTCTTTTTTGAAACACCATAACATAAAAATGAATGATCGCATCTTCATTTTTTCACCCGCAAAATGCCGCCCCCATGAAGTGCCACCCGGGGCCTATGGCCTTCCGTCAACCCCCGCCTCTGGTTCGCTACTGGATGGAGATGAAGAAGAATTATGGGAATGGGAGATAAAATTCCTCTTCTATCTGAAATTAAGAATCGTTATTGAATCAAGTTTAAATTTCGGATCTGATAAAATAATCAGAACCGAAAACCCAGCCTCATCACTGAATGTAGACGGAGAAAATATATGATAGCTTACCATGCTTCTAAAAGAACTACCACAAGACTTTAAAGAAAATATATGATAGCTTACCATGCTTCTAAAAGAACTGCCACAAGACTTTAAAGAAAATATATGATAGCTTACCATGCTTCTAAAAGAACTGCCACAAGACTTTAAAGAAAATATATGATAGCTTACCATGCTTCTAAAAGAACTGCCACAAGACTTTAAAGAAAATATATGATAGCTTACCATGCTTCTAAAAGAACTACCACAAGACTTTAAAGAAAATATATGATAGCTTACCATGCTTCTAAAAGAACTACCACAAGACTTTAAAGCTTTCTTTATGGTAATAATCCCAAAAAAGTGATGGCATAAAATTCAGTGAATTTAAATT